AAAAAAAAATTAATTTTTGAAAAGTCGGGTGCCAGGTTCACATAGCTAAGTATAGTATTCATAGTAAAACATCACTTGTTAGTGATACATTGATAATTATTTCCGGTCCTCAAATGAAGCAGAAACAAGCAAAAACCTGCTGGCCTCTCAAGCATTCTAGCATAGAACTGCTAATGTTCCCATCACGATCGCAAACGACTAACACAGCAAGTAACTTTGCATCGAAGGATATCGAGCTTCGAGTTTTCCAATCAGTTGAAGAGACTGGCTCACGAGGTACTTGACCCCCGACAAAAAAAAAAGGGGGGGGGAAGAAACATCCGATTAAGATATCGCGATTAATGTTCGCGCGAAACGGGAGGGCAGATAGCAGACGCAAAACAACGCTTTGCTTTCGTGAATCAATATACACTCTTTTTGACGATGGCCAGCGTGCTCCGGGATAAATCATGCTCCGCGGGAGCCCAGACCCTTTTCTCGCCCCGAAACTACATCTTTCGACGCTGCTCTCTCCATCGTAAAGGAAAAGAATGAAGCTGGGAGGGGAATCGAGATAGTCGCGACAAAGCGGCGCGAAAACGACCACCCATTCGAGGTCGCTGTTCTGGGAAGCTGTCGGGCGTTCTCTCTCGCTGCGATCGAAAAAATGTTATCGTTGGGATTGCTTGACGGATGGTAATAAACCGATAGAACGGAGATTAACGCGCCGAGCGTCGCGTGAAGTTGAACGTTTCCAGTGCGAATTGAAGTATGGATTGTGTCATCCACAGTCGAGAAATTAGTGCTTAGTTAAACCTTAAAATTACTCCATTTAGCAATATCGATTTCTTTCTTTACTTTGTTGCTCTACTCTTAATGATTATCTTTTTTGTTTTTTGATACTGTATCTTTTTTTCAGTCTCATATTTTTGTTCTTTTTTTTATACATACATATCGTTATTGTTTTTCGTACGTCTTTTTGGTACTATGTTACTTTGTTACTTTGGTGTTATTATATATATGTTTTGTTAACCCTGAGAATGAGTCTACCAATTCTAGCAACTCTATCAATTTCTTTTTTGGATCTGTTCGTTCCTCCCAACACGCTGGGAAATATCTTCCAACGGGATATTTCATTGTTCTACTCTGAATGATTATTTTCTTCATTTTTGATATTATATTTATCTGGAACATATTAATATTGTTTTTCGTTGATATCAATGGTTTTAATGGTATCAAACGATAACAAAAAATCTTCTTGGAAAAATGAGTGCTCTGTCATTTCGTAAAATGTCAACTATAATGATGTTTAAAATTGAGGCTTAAAGCCTATTAGAGACAATTTTGGAACCAATTATGTTTTTAAATTAATATTTCTTTGCGCCTCTAACTAGGCAGTTAATTTCAAGTTTACCATTTGGAAGCTTGAAGAAGGGGTTTTAAATTATTTTCTTTTAGAATTTTATTGTGGTATTATTTCTCGTTTTATCAAATTAATTCCTATAATTTTTTAATCTTCATGTAGTTATACAAATATTAAGAAATAAGGTAAATGAATGGTTTCATACAATTACGATGTAGAAATGAACTCGTAACGATTCGGAATTTGAATAATCTTTTTCTAGAAATTGCTGCAGGCATCAAATCTTTGACTGCGAAGGGCGTATATATACGTTTTCAAGAAATGGGCTCGGAGAAATGTTTGTATTCGTCAAATCAATTTTCCAAAAATATCAACTTATAGGGGATGATAAGACAAAACTTTTTTATATTTACAGTTTATTCATAGGACGCCTAGTTTCGAAAATAGAAACTGAAAAGATCCAAGTTCGTTGCATAAATTGAATTTCAGGAAAAAGGTCTTCTAAGTTTTACATTTTTATCTCTAAACTAAACGTCGTATGAATAAACTGTACATATAAAAAAGTTTCATTTTATCATTCTCTATAAGGTGATATTTTTGTTTTGAATTTGATTGTTTGACTGTTATTTTTTTTCTTTGAGACAACAACAACGGGGTCAGACCACTACAAGATCTCAGGAAAAAGGTCTTTTAAGTTTTTAGTTTTTGTTTTGGAAACTAAAAGTCCTATGAGCAAACTCTAAATACAAAAAAGTTCCGTCCTTTCATTCCCTATAAGTTAACATTTTGTTTAAATTCACAACTCTAAGGCTTCTTAGAATGTTCAGCAAAAATTGTCCCGCGCTCAAAGGGTTAATCGCCACACCATTTTTCCATATCTAGACATGTCCTCAACATTTCGTCAACTATGGTGTGAAATGATAATTCACCGGTTAGTCGTTATTTTATAACGCCTCTGACGATGATAACGTGGTTTAAAATTCTACTAGTATTAGAATTTATTTATTTATTGTAAGCGTGAAGTATTAAAGGAGTACAGACTAAAATGATGCAGGGTTAACGTACGATTTGGATCATAGATGAAGAGTAGAATTGAAATAGGGCCACGCACATGGAAAGTTAATAGGATTCTAAAGTCCGCGCAAAATATTTTGGGGCTACCGAGGGATCCCATCATAAATATTCAAGTAGTTTGACGCATAGGCTAAGAGTATTCAGGGTTTAGATGACATAAGCTACAGACGACAGAGGGAAAGTTGGATTGGGATGAAAGCATACATCAGAAAGTACTGGATGCGTTACAGATGATACTTACAAAATTACTTACAGGTGAATATTTTGGATCTCTTTTAAGCTGGCAGGACCAAATCAGCAGAATCATATCGGACTTAGTGGAATATCTAGTACTTATTTTGTACTAATTTGTACCACCAACAATAATTTTGTACCTCTTGCCGATTTCGAAAAAATCGTAGCGCTGCTAGCTTAATATTAAGCTGCTTAATATTAAGATAGCAGGATCACACGTCAAAATTAATAAAAATTAAAAAAATTAATGTGGATGCATTTAGGACTGAATTTGTACTAATTTGTACCACTAACAGAAATGTGTTGTCTGTGTCTTACTAAAATAAATGGAGGTTTCGTCGTAAAATAAAAAGATTTATTAAACAAATTTCAGTACTTTTAAATTTTAAAACGACTCTCGCATTATGTCACATAGGATTATAATATTTTATAAAACTGCAGTATTGTTTCTCTTTTTATAAAAATATGTTCAGTAACCACAGCTTTCTTGCGCCAATTTCAAAATAAACGACTCGTTCGTAGAAATTTGAGAAGACATGTAAAAAAAGCAAAAGAAATACAATTAATCCTTACTTGGTAGGATTCCAAATAATATTTTACAAATTATGTTTAAATATAATTATTACATTAAAACACATTATTGTGTAAACATATATCCAAAGTTCAGAAAAGAATTAATAAATCTTGTTTATCCTTCATAATCTTGCATATTATGCATCACGGCTTGTTCTTCAGAAATTAATTCCGATCAGTCCGACACCCATGTCTAACTTTAATACGACCGCAAAGGGTTAAATATTTTGTTCATACTGCAATGCACCCAACATTCGCAAATACTCTAACAAATAAAAAGATTTAATAAAAGTCCCGCGGCGTCTTTCCTTAGCTGTTCAAAGAAACGACCGAGCGTTGTTTAGAGTTGTCTGAAAATAATTCCATAATATTCCTCGGAGCGATAAGGGCTAACACCTCGGAAGATAGTCGGCCGAAGCAACAGTCTAAGTCGGCGCGGAGCGCAGCGAATTCTTTGTCTCCGTCCGAAAAGGAGAGGAAAGGTGTCTCCATGAAATTCTTATCGGCGTTCCGCGAACTTGGAGAAACTGCAACCGCCGCGACGTGGAAACGGAACGGGACGGAGAGCAGAGTCTAGGGGCCGAGAAGTGAGAGAGGTTTGCACACGAGCGCGTCCACTTGCACGGAACGAGCACGCTCTCGGCATCGTGGAGGGGTGACGCTGGACCCCAGGCTCCGTGCGGCGCGTAGCTCATGAGCCGAGTAACAAAACCAGTCGTCTCTCTACTGGCTAACCAGCTACCCGCCTTCTAATCCTCTCGCGATTGTTTCCGCCGCGACCGTAACGTCGCGACGCGAGTTCTCCGCTTCGAACTCTCCGCCTCGAATTCTTCTGCCAGCGAGTTCCACTGGGATTTCGAATTCTCGTCGAGTGGCGGTCATCCAAGCAGGTTCCTTGTGATTTTGACGCGCGTGAAAGTCCTCGAAACGTGTGTGGAACGCATTGTCGAGGAAGGTAGTTGGTTCGTTGAAACGCTCCGGCGATCGCGGGATTCTAATCGGAGACTGCTAGTTGTCAAAATTGCCTTCGATCGTTAATTGCAATGTTTTTCTACCTTGGCTTTAAAAGAGTTGCAGATTCTCGTCCTCTAACCCAATTAGACACAGTCACAGGTTCTCCATGAACATTTTCTATTCGTTCGGGTGGAGTACCAACACTGTAACCTAGTCCTAGAAGAGCAACACTCGTTAATTGTCCCAAGTGTAAACTCTTGATCGTTCTAGAGATCATTCTACGGATAAATTATAGAAAACCTTCGACTCGAGCAGGAAGAGTCGTCCTACGCGAGATTGTTTCTCCTAGACGCTGGACAGATATTTATCTCGCGACTGTGCAGAATATTCACCAGTGTCGTGGGCTGGAAGGATCAAGATGTTAATGTCTCTGGCGAGAGGGTCGAACGATAGCGCTTGGATCCAACCGTCGAGGTGACCAGTGGATCAACTCTCTCGAAGACTGTGTATCGAGACATCTTCGCCCGATGGTGAAGTGTGATTTAGATACACATGCCTCCGTATACTGCGAGACGAAACATGGTCAGTCGATATAGACGAAACCGTTGACCCGAATCTAGTAAAAGATCGTTGATCGTTGAAAAAAGCGGAGACTCGTATATGGATCTTAATTTCAAGAACAACTCCGACCTCAGGATGAATCAGCGAAACTTCCAGTTGAGCGACTTCGGAATCGAGCCGAAGCCGAGTCACGTGAGCGAACAGCGCGAAGTCAGCTCGAGGTATCGCGTCGCGAATTTGCAGGTGCAGCAGGCTCAAATCAGGCCTGGAAGGCTCGGTTCGGGGACCGGAGGATCGAGCCCTCTGCAAGTCGCCTGCAATCGTTCGCGAATCTGTTCGAACGGTTCCGTGTTGACGTGCGCCAGTCAAAGGAGAAGTCCGAATCAATCGGCGATCGGACCGTTGCAGAGCGCAGGGGATCGATTCCAAGCCGCCAGCCCGAGCAACTTGCCCGGAAGTGGTTCCATGTTGCAACCGACCGTTTCCTCGGTACCGTCGCCCGGCTATTGGAATCATTACAGCGGACAGGAGAGCGGGGTAAATGACAACCATTTTAGACGTAATAACGATCGTTCGTTGAAACGCGAATAACATTAGGATAGTGTTAGGTTGATATGTACGGTTCTTAACTGACTTCGAAAAGGAGGAGGTTACTCAATTCGACATGCATACCTGGTCTGTCTAAAAAGAAACCGAACTTTTGCTATTAAAAGAAAAAAGTACAAGTAAAGTTTTTACACACACGTTTATTTACTCAAAATAATCTCTGTCTGCGTCAATATAGCGTGTAGACCGCGTAAATAACATTTCGAAGGACCTGTGCAGTTCCTGTTTTGGTAGCCCGTTTAGTACGGCGATTACAGCGGCCTGAATCTCCGAAATGTTGCTATAATGTGTCCCTTTCATTGGAATTTTCAATTTTGGTAAAAGAAAATAATTCCAGGGAGACAGATCAAGCGAGTAGGGTAAGTGATCGAAAGTAACAATGCCAATTCCAATGAAAGCGACACATTATAGCAATATTTCGGAGATTCAGGCCGCTGTAGCCGCCGCACGGTGGGACGAAACGGCCTTCGGTGATCAAAAATCGATTTTCGTGAATTCGAAAAATGGAAAAACTGTTTACGTACATCGATAAAGGATAAATTGCTGTTTAATGTAGTGCAATCTGTTTTTTGATATTTGCTTCCGTTTTGCTGTGGTGCGCATTCAAAGGCAGTTGAAATTCGTCCAAGAAAAACTAACTTCAATATATGATTCTAAAAAACTTTGCTCAGAAAGACGATATTCAAATGAATTATAATGTTTACTAGATTTGTATAGATAGTATTCAATGCATAAAGTAAATCAAAATGTTAACAACTTTGGTTAAATAACAATAATTATGTCAAACAAGTGAAAGATATTGAACGCGTTACACTTTATACTCTAATTGATTTATGCTCATACAATTTAAGTATCATAGTATAGGGAATAAGTTCCTAAAATTTCATTAAAATATTTTTAAGAGAACCAAAGTTACGGATTTTTGATCGCCGAGAGCCGTTTTGTCCCACTGAGCGTCGTACAAAACGGGAGCTACAAAGGTCCTTCGAAATGTTAATTACGCGGTCTACACGCTGTATTGATGCAGAGGGAGATTATTTTGAGTAAACAAACGTGTGTGTAAAATCTTTACTTGTACTTTTTTCTTTTTATAGCAATAGTTGGATTTCTTTTTAGACAAACCGTGCATTTTCTAGGGAAGATTTAATGATGTATGGGAGGTACAAGCTATGTGAACCTGGCCCTCGACTTTTCAAAAATTAATTTTTTTTATAGAAAATGATAGTATTTTGATTGTACTTGATTGTACCACCAATAGTTTCGTTTGTACCTTCATCGATTAATAAATAACAAAAATTTTTTAAATGGTCAGCACTCGAGATTGAGATATTTAAAATCTGTTTTTTCCCTATTCTTTAGAATCGTTTGTATCGCTTTTCATTTCGTTTGTACCCCAATAGTTTAAATTTTATAATTCAACCGTATCAACAATTGCTTGTAAAATTTAAACTATTGAGGTATTAGGGGGACCAGAAAGTAATGTTGTTTCTTTTACAGTGAATTCAAACAAATAAATTTATAATATGATTTTATTTCAAATCAATTATATAATTGTCTTCGTTATCAATAACCTTTTGCCATCTAGTGTGCAAATTCTCAATACCTGATCGATAAAAATTGATTGGTACACCGTGAGCTGGTAAAGAATAAACAAGTATTTGCATTCGCAGAAACGATATTACTTTCTGGTCTCCATAATACAAACGAAACGAAAAGCGGTACCAACGGGTACAAACGATTCTAAAAAATAGGAAAAAAACAGATTTCAAAAATCTCAATGTCTGGTGTGATTTTTTTATTTTATTTTTTAATTATTAATGGGTGAAGGTACAAACGAAACGAATGAACGAAACGAAAAAAACTAATTTTTGAAAAGTCGGATGCCAGGTTCACATAGCTGAAGGTACATCCGGAGACAAATGTATATGAAATTTTAATTAATCGAATATCATTGTAATTACGGCATTTAAATGAACAGATTTATAATTACAAGCTTGTTTTTAATGTCGAGTCTCCAATTTATCATGAATTTGTTTGTTTTCATTTAATATTCGAATGAAATTCTAAATATTTTTAGTCATTAATAAAAAAACTTAGCATTGAAAATACCTTGAATTCAACTTCAAATAACAAAAATACATAATTTGTTTATATCTGAAATGAATGATATAAATTATTTATAGATACTTCACAAAAAATTAGAAAATTAATATATGTCTGCATAACGAAAAATATTATTTTATTTAGTAATGTAGAGAAAATAGATTTATATTTATTAGGCTGATATAGAAGGAAATAATTAAGATAAAGTAAGATAAAGTGAAGATGAACTGAAGGTGACCCTAACATCTCAATAACAAAGTAAGATAATAAAAAACAGATTAGACCACTGTATCTCCCCCTAAATACCATGCAACTTTTGTTTGAAATATTTTGACATACAACAAATACCTTACAAGTTATTTGAAGTCGTCATGTTAAAAGACTCACACTTGTATACTATGAAGGATGAGTGTAACAGTGTCAGAGTGCATGTGGCGTGAATGAAACGACTGCTCAGGATGTAGAATGCGTGTGAGCGGACTATGCTTTAATGTTTGAGCTAAAGATAAGAGGCGAAGAGAAGCGCCAGTCGTTTTGAAAGTAGCAACCGAAAAGCACCGGTTTCTAAACCTCTTTTTTTTTATTTGATTTCAATTAAATACTTTTGTTTCGTTTAATTATATACCTTTCTTCACACGCCCTTATTAAAGAAAACAATTTTACATACTAAAGTAGAAAATTCTTTTCTAAATTGTAATCCGTTTCTAAATTACCCAGCAGTATAATGTTAAGTTGCTCTGGAACTTAACACTTTATTTACCGTAAATTTATAGGCTCTATTTATAGGCTTTTTAATTGCAGTATTTAGCTATTCGAATTTATTTACTGTGTTCATACTTGTCTACTTACAATGTTCAGTTTTTGGAAACAGCTTGGCTTCCAATGTACCTAGTAACAATATGGGGGAATTATTGTCAGCCTAGATTGGCTTATGTCACTGTAGAAAATTCTTTTTTGAATTAAAGACTGTTTCTAAATAGCCCGGTAGATAAAGTATTAATGAACAGGATAGCGCGTGGCCACGTATGTATTACGTCTCTTGGTTGAGGACGTGGCTTTGCCCACCCGATGCGCTTACGGACTTGCGTGAAATTTCGTATTCGCATTCGGACAGCTATGACAGTTTTACGAGTCGAATACCTGTTATCGAACGAAAGTTCCTCGCGAGGTCCGTGCCACAGAACTGGCCGATTAGTCCCAGACGGCATAGGACCGGTTTAGTACTCGTGTGTGACTCGGAGCCGGCTCGAAAACTTTTACTGCACCGAGCGTGTACCGGACGCACTTATCGTCTTTTATACGCGGTGAACTTTCACGGTCAGCTATTCGAGGTAGCTTCTCAAATTTCGGCCCGTTTTAAAGGGTTAGGAGGGGGTCTGGTGTATTATTGTATCGGACAACTCGAGCCACGCTAGACATTTTATTGGAATATAAGCGATGGAATGAATGAGTAGACTTTTCTTTTAACTTGACTTTAAAAACTTTAGTCGAAACACACGGAAGAGCACGTCTTCCGAAATTCGGAAGAATTTCATTACTGAACTATACAGGGTGTCCCAAAAATATTGTAACACCTTGAAAGGGGTGATTCGGGAGGTGATTTGAAACAACTTTTTCCTTAGCGAAAATGTTGTCGGAGACTTCGTTAAGGAGATATTAACAGAAAACCCCGACCAATCAGAGCGCGCGGATACCGTTGGAGCGGCTGCGGTAGCGTATGAGCGCAACCGCCTAGCGCGTAGCCTACGCTCCACCGGCATACGCGTGCTCTGATTGGTCAGTGTTTTCTCTTAATATCTTCTCAACGAAGCCTCGGACAACATTTTCGCTAAGGAAAAAGTTGTTTCAAATCACCTCCCGAACCACCCCTTTCAAAGTGTTACAACATTTTTGGGACACCCTGTAGGAACACAGCTGCACCCTCTTGACTTGCGACTACGAAAGAAACCCAAACGCGCAGAGATGGTTTTTGTAACGAAAACTTTCTCTTTTATGAAGAGAAAATCCAACACATTTATTAACCCTTTGCCCTCGAGAGGTGACCCTCGGTCATCACCAGGTTTGATGCAGTGAGTCAACCAACAATTATGTTTGTTTAGATTTCTTTAGAATTCGAAGTTTCGTAAATAAAATGATTGTCGGTGAAGTAAAGGTGACCTGATTCTCAAATCTCAAATTACCTCAATAATCTCAAGTCCATCTCGTTGTATGATGTTCAAACAGGTTCAAACAATATCAAATCATACGAGGGTCATTCAAATATAAACCGGAGTTTTCATGCCCAACTTTATTGGTGATAGACACAAATACAAATACACTTCCTGCAAATTATTTGAGGGCGTGGATTAATGAATCAATTAGACACCTTTTAATAGAAACTTATAGACTAAATATATTATATTCGAACGTTAGAAATTACATGGAGAAATAAAACGTGTGTCCACTTTCCGGACATAAGACAATGAAGTAGCGACGTTATCTTGTTAGAGAACCATACGATGCGTGCGCACTCACACATACACTTGTTTACACATATACATATACTATGCATACATATATTAGGTTGTCCAAAAAGTTCGTGCCAATTTCTCAGAAAAATTCAAAAACACGTTTTAATTTTAATATATATTTATTGAATTACATAGGTGCCATTTTGTTCCACAGCCTTTCCACCTTTTAAGGGATGAATGCGTGTTATTTATTTTCAACCACTTCGATATATTCAGACCTGTACCACCTACCAAAAATCGATATGGACTTTCCGGACAACCCAATACATATACATATACATATACTATGCATATATGTATATACTATGTATGTCATAG